TGATGTTGACAAAGGTTGAGGTGTTTAGTTGAGGCTTTTTTGCTCTGACATTTTAAACCATAACAGTAGCAAGTCTGTTTTGTTAAAAATTACGTAACATGATCTGAGCTGAACATACATTATGTTTGATGTGAAGGTTTTTTTTATTTATTTTTCACGGTGATACCTCAAAACAAACCAATCCAACTGTTTTATATTTAGCTTTTCAGTCTAGTAATAATGCGTGTGCATTTGCTCCAAAGATAAATACACCAGTCTCTTTTCAATCTCAGATGACTCCTGGTTACATAACCTAAGTGTGCTGCAGAGTGAAATCAGAAAAAGATGTGACCACCCACCACCCTGTCCCTGTCCCTGTCCCTGTCTGACCACCGCAGACAACCACTTGTCTCATGTAAAATATCCCCAGGCAAAACCTGTGCACAGCAGAGGAGAAGAGCAAAGAAAGGATGAGTTTTAATATCTTGGCTCAGTGAAGTCGAAAGAGACAATGTAATGAGTAGAAATAACAGAAAATGTTTGAAATGGTGGAGGAAAATGTACACGGGGATGAAACATTTTCTTAGAATCTGTCTGTTTCTAGCTGGCTGTCTCATCACAACTCCAACCCCAAAACACAGTAACATGCTCTGGATAAAGAAACTGACTCAGGCCAAATTTAAGAAAAAGAACTGGAGACTTTACCGCTCCACCAGGTTATAGGTAACCCTAACCCCCTGGTGGAGCGGCAAGGGAATGCAGTCCAGGTGGAGAAGAGCAGATGAGGTTAACACACTGAACTGAAAAAAAATGTATTAATGTCAGTGGTGTTACCCAGAATTCCCTGTATGAACCGTGGACCTCAGTGCAACTCTTGACACAGGTCGGGTCAGGTCACCTCGAGATCTACCTTCACAGCAATGAATAATGCAGTAAAGGTCATGATGGTGTGTGTGTATGTGCGCACGTGTGTGTGTGTGTGTGCACGCACTAATACTGTTGTTGTGGGGACACTTTGTCCTGGGGATATTTTACAGATGCTAAATGTGGAAGAAAGGTGATTTCTCAGGTGTGAGGTTTTATTTAGATTGAGGATTAGAGTTACAGTCACTTCAGTGTTATGGTTACATTAAGTATAATAAAGTGTGTGTATGTGTGTGTTTTAGGGATCTTAGATGAGTGTGTGGATAGTGTGACTACTGACTCACTGTTTCGGTGATACTGCTACTCCAGTGTTTGGGTGTAGCCCTCATCCACTTGTTGATTCATTTCAAGACAGAGTGGCGTTCTGTGGGTGTGTCAGTTTTGTCTACATTATAGTTCATCTGTGTGTCCCGAAGAATGGAACCTTTTATCTGCCCTCTTAGTGAAACACTTGCGTCTCGGAGCACAACAGTGACAGCACAGCAAACCTGTCATTGTCTGATCCTTAATCATCATCATCATAATACCAGTATTCTGTCGTGAGGGCGGATGATTTACATAGTTGCAGAGCGGTGGTTGCGGTTTGTGTGCTGATATATGCTGAATGTGTGTCAACGTGACTCGCTGCGCCGCATGCATCATCTGGCATTTCAAGGAGAATCTTTCTGTATGTGTAAGTGTCAGCAGCCGAGTTTGTGAACATGCAGCAGTAACGTCACCCTGTGAAGACACTGTGAAGATAAACAGCTGATGTGAAAAACGCCGCACTCTTTTCTGCTGCTCTTATTGTCCTCTGGCTGCCTTCTGTGGTTGTAGCCGACTTGTTCACTACCGTCTTATGTTGCAGTGACGTAGGGCATCCTCTCACCTGTGACATAAGGGTCTGGAGTTACACTGCAGATACAGGGAGAACACCCTCGCTGCTTTATGTCATGAATAATGGCTGACTGGGTGAAGCCGGGACTTAAACTCCTGACTTCTCACTCACTCAGGACTGTGGCCTGTGCCACATGTGCAGTGTTTTTACTTTGTTGTTTCAAAACAGTGTCAGTTTCTATGGGCCCACGTGGTGGAGAAAGTGGTTAATGGTCTTGCCTTACACCAAGAAATTGTATGCCTTTCGTTTGTTCACACAGTCCAGAAACATGCAGATTATCTATACAGGTAATCTGATGGATTGACTGCAAAAGGATTAAGTAGCCTGGTACAATGGTTAACAAAGTAGGGGGCTGGACCCCATAGGAGGCAAGTTGCTATTGCACGGGGGGCACTACAGAGCAAATTACAGTATATTATTGTACTGGACATATATACTGTAAATCTAAAAGTACCTTGAACCTTACAGCTGAGGTTTTCACAGTTGTGTATAGATTCACAGTGTTTACTTTTGATTCATAACTGAGAGTGAGGACGCTCCTCTATTAGGTCTGGGTGGTAGTTTAGTAGTTTAGTTTCCTTACATCTAGAGGGTTGTGGGATTGATTCTTAACTCTGAGTGAACATGCTGTTGTGTAAAGTATCAAGCAGTTTGAGTTGTCATCAAGACCAGAGTACAGAGCAGTTTCAGTGTCTTCTCTTTATGAAGCCAGTTTTTATATTTAACTCAAGCTCATTGTTAGAAATGTTTCATTTCAGGTCTTCTTTAATAGAATATGTCGTCTGGTTTTTAAATATCTGTCTCGTTTTGTTTGTTTTCCACCACTGATGTACATCCATAGTATACAGTACTTGAATACCAGGAGCAAGCTGACCGAGTAATAGTCATACTACACAGTACATATAAAATACACGTACTCCATTTAGAAGAGAGTGATGTAAACCTGTTTGATACGATGGAATGACAACATTATCCAATCATATGTTGAGGTTTATTTTTTATTGACTCCACCGTCCTCTCCTGGTAATAACATCACTCCAGCTCCTCTGCTCTTTTGTCCTGATATTTCTCCATGTCACAGTGGGGAGTGAATAATTCATGCCGTGTCTGCTGCTGTTGGAGATAAATCATGTGAGAAGAGCGTGTGCTCATCTCCTGAGAAGCTCTTCTCGCCAACTAAGACCACAGGAGGTGGGTGGAGCAGCAGCAGCAGCAAGCAGCAGCAGCAGCAGCAGCAGCTCTACTGTACAAACCACATCCACTTTGTCCTGCCATGCCTCCATTACATTGTCGTGTCTTCTGATGTCATGTGTGAACTCTGGCACAGAGCCATCCACAGAGTGACTCCTCACTCCATCTGAACTGTATATATAACATAAGGCTTCATGAATTAGTTAAGGCTATTCCAAGAAGAAGGCTTCAGTTATGGAGCGTTAGGCTGTTAAACAAATGTACACACTTATATTTGATTAACTGAACTTTTGTACAGTAATTAACCTACTGGGTATTTTTAGAGGGTTTTCACTTCATGCTGTGCATCAGGGGATAGAGTTGAGCCCCGGTGCCATATCCTGTCAAAACCCACGTCTGCATTTAACATTTGCCACGGTTTTTACAGTGCATTGGGTTCAAACACTGTTTCCTGAGAGCAGAAGAAGAATCACATTTATTGTCTGAGTGAATATACACACACATTTACACACAACACCGTGTTGTTTTCTGCGTTTAACCCATCAACGCATTCCTGGAGTGCAGTGATCTTTGAAAACGCCTCGAGATCAAGAGCATTAGTGAAGACACCACACCAGCCAAGGTGACAACCAATCACAAATCCAATGGGGTGAAGTCTGACCAATCACAATATAGACACTTAAAATACTTTGAAATATCCATTTCTACAATAACAAATATTACAAATATAATAACAAAAGAACAATGTGCCAGAGTAGCTGAAACTTCAGGTCTCGTCAGAAGCCAGTGCAAGGTTTTTCGCTGTTGTATTCTAACATCTTGTTTCCAGTTTGTCACATTGGGACTGTAATACTATTCGCACAGTTTTATTTAGTCACACTTGTTTTCTGACCTTTTGTTTCCTTTACATCTGTGATGGGTTTAGATCAGCATAAGGAGAACCCATGCAGCCAATCACTAACCCAGTTACTGTCCTTGTTATAGGTAGGATTATACCCAACTAACTGTATGTTAATCATTTTGTTTCCTGCTCAGTGTTCTGCAGTTCCTGTCCCTTCACTCCCACACACACCCTGTCTCTGGAGGAACTTTTTGCCAAAGTGAAGATAATGTATCTGTGTGTGTGTGTGTGTGTGTGTGTTTGCCTGAGAACTGCAGCCCCCTTGTGAAGAGTGCTCTGTCCTGATGCACACACATATGTCTCACACGAAGGATCAACACACTGAAGGAGCCCAGAACAACAATTATTCATACGGAGGTGCCCTCTGAGCTCTCATGCTGTCACACAGTGTTAGGAGACTGTGAGGATAAGCAGACAGCCCTGCAAAGTGTTTTACTCTGTTGTTTTTCAATATGAAAATGACAAGGTTGTGGACCATGTCATGGGTGGAGCAGCTCAGCTGCCAATGGACAAACCCAGGCTGCTGGACCTGTTCAGCCAGGGCAGATGGTGTGTTTCCTGACCTCGGGGGAAAGAAGCCTGACCACTTCTAAGACGGAGCTTAAAGCTAACATATATGACTGTAGATGTATAAAAAAAAATTAGGCTATATTTTTCAAACACCGGTTACTTTCAAGTCTTTAGTAGAAATGTTTATTATATTGTTTATTCCAGTGAGAGCAAACCGTCATTTATTAAATGTTCCATTAGAAATATTGAGTTGAACTAAACTCTGTTTCTTTTATACATTTTTATCAGGTAAAATTCCTTGTTGTGTCACAATGCTATGTATTTGCCTTTACATAGACAGTAGGTTTCCAATCCTAACTCTGACTGGGAGCCAGTGTGCAGACGCCCCACAGCATCCATGCTAGTAGCACCTGGAACCCTAACTGTTGATGCATATCCACTGTCAGCTTTCCAATACGCTCTTGTCAAGCACATGAATCATCCTGTCAGTGTGTTGTGATTTAGCAACTGGCTGAATTTTATTGGGGAGAAAGTTGCCAATAGTGATTGTGTTTCTAAAGAATTTATGTGGTTTCCCATCATTCATCTTCTCTTCTCTCTTTTTCTTTCTTCTCGCAGATCAGCCACTGTTTGAAACCCGGAGGCCGATTCATCTCCATAACCTTTGCCCAGCCCATTTTCAGGAAGTCCCTTTACGCTCGTGCATGCTACGACTGGTCGGTGAGAAAGTACACCTATGGTGAAGGGTTTCAGTACTTTGTGTATGTGATGACCAAAGGTGAGTCGCTCTGTCCAGAAGATGCCAGTCTGGAGAGGAAACTCCTGGAGGAAACACTTGTACCACCTAACCAAGTGACCATAACACAAAGTGACGATGAGGAAGACTTTATGTTTAATATTCACTTATAAGGTGACTCACTTGTATTGAAGTAGCTTTTATACATTTTCTAGGCATTCATTCATATGTAAATGACAAATCTGGGTCTTTTAATGCACACTGTCTAGCTAATTATCCTTAGTCTGCTCTGATTGTTTATTATCTAATTAGCCATTCACTTAAAACCATTGTTACCATTGTACCCACGGTAACAGTGGCTAAGCTGCTGAATCTGAATAGACTGTTGAATGTTAATCCATTAATGGACCTTTGAATTTAATGTATTGGTTATGCCAAGACATAAATAGCAGGTGCTAATTTAGGCATTTGTACAAATTGCAACTGAATCCGTTTTTTATTGATGCTGTCAATTTTAAATTTAGTCCAACTCTTTCAAATTTTTCAACTGTTGCTTCAGCAAAAAGGCAAAAGAAAAAAGCAGAAAGCTGTCAGTTTTCAACAAATAGTGATGTTTTTGATGTTACTGTGAGGCAGAAATGCCAAAACTTTGTATTATTCATGTACCCTTTAAGCAGCTGTCAGTTTTAAAAGGGTTGGTGAACCCTGGGTTATTCCTGTGGCTGCGTCTACCTCAGCAACAGGAATAACCATCTGGTTTTATGTGATTTTTGTGGTGAAGTCTCTTCATTCTATCATCACTGTGGTATTCATGCTAATATTTTTTTAACTTTGACTCTTGAGAATACATCATTGTATCTCCTCCTCCTCCTCCTGCTCCGTCCTGTGCGTCAACTTCGCTCTCGGTTCGTTCTCTAATGGCCTCTGATCTTCTGCTGCAGTTCAGGTCTGTCACTGTTACACAGTTTGCAAGACAGACTGATCTGGTCCAGACACAGAACACAGAACACAGCAGCAGCAGTGCCAGGCTGCATGTAAAGTCTGTGCTAAAATCTATAAATATGGAGGACAGACTTTCCTCTTATGTTGGTCTAGTCTGCCTGTGTCCCACGTCTGCTTCAGATTCCAGACCACAGCTGTACTGTTTGACACTCCTGTCTGGTATAATGATGTTGCATGAACTCTCCCTCACACACACACACACACACACACACACACACACACACACACACACACATACACATACAAGAATTAGCTCAGCCTGAGTGTGTTATTTGTTGAGGAAACATGAGCTGAGATTCCGGGCCCTGTGCTGTCTGCAGCTTAAATATAGAGCGGTGGCCGTGTGGCACACAGGCAGGAAGGCTGGTGACTGGGGGGTGAGGGGTGTCACATTAATAAAGTAGAAATCATTTATTTTTAATTCTCTGCTGAGATCTAATTACCGCCTATTTTAGAACTGGGAAGAAGTTTGTGTGTGTGTGTGCACGTGTGTGTGTGTGAGTGATTTTTCACATGACTCGACCTAATCTCCTGTGATTATCCTAATAGTGCGGTGCAGGGCTTTGTGTTTTCACAACAATCTCATCACAAGGTCATTTGAGTAACAGTTTGTTTTTTTTAATCGTATCCCACAATCCTCTTCCAATGGAAAACATGGTTGTGTATGTTCTCTGTCTTCGAAGTGACAGTGACTGTGTTTACCTTTTTATTTATCAAAAAAACCAAAACATCTTTTCAGGTAGTTTGGCCTTTTGGTTTCCATGGTGACAGATGATGAAGGAGGTTGGTTATGTAAGACTTAATGGTCCCCAGTTTGGATGTGAGAATTGAGGTTTGTCCTGGGTTCATTTCAGACTGAATAGAAGGTTTGTTTCTGGAGTTTTTTTTCTCTGGACTCATCTTCTTTCCTAAGAGTTGATTGTTAATTCCCTCTGGGATGTTTTTTTTTAATTTTTTTATCTTAGTCACTTTTATTTTCTCAGCATATGAAAAGAGTCAAATTTACCATTTCTGGATTGAATTTTCAGCTGCTCTATTCAGACAGAGTGATGTGCAGAGACTGAACTTATATAACATCAGAGCAGGTTCCCAGGCCTGATCCTACTGCAAATGCAGTCTCTGTCTGAGCTCATCACCTATGTTACCCAGGTGCCTCAGCCCCTTCCTTTTACCCCCAGCTTTTTGCATTTAACTGTGGGAGAGATAATACAGCCTGAATTTCCTCTCCTACTGTGAATTGTCCTCCATGCTCCGGCGCCCAAGGGCAGCCACAACACTAATCTACTGCTCAATACCTTCCTATACCCCTCACCTTCTGCCTGCTCTCCTCTTGTGTTTCTATTCTCTGCGTTACTCCTTCAATCAGTCTTCTTTTCACACTCACCACTCTTTCTGCCTACATCGATCTGCCTTAAACTGAGGGGAGCGGCTCTCACATGGACACTCTGCTTTGCTGAAAGTGAGGTTTGGTGCTTAGGGTTGTAATTTAAAAGAAATGTTTTTTTTTTTTTGTTTTTTTTTTGAGTGACAGCTAAATCCGGGTGTTCAATTTGTAAATGTAATGGAGGTGTTTTAAACCTGCCAGTTGACTTGCTTATCTCAGTTGTTTGAAGCATGGTGCTGATGATGCTGAAGTTGCTGGTTTGATACCCAAAAGGGCCAGCTTTAATTTTGGGGTTAGAGTTTTTTTGCTAAATAATTTCCACTAACACTGTGAAAGTATTTTTCAAGAATTAATTTTACATTAATTTGAAAAATACCTGTACACAAACACATACAGGAAACTAGATGTGATGTATTCAAGCACTGGTCTATGCAGTGTGTTTGGTTTAGTTGCAGAAAGTGTGCCCATCTGCTGGGTGCATATCTACACCATGTCTGTGTTGATCCCAGCATGTAATGAGGTCCAAACCCATCTGTTAGGTCACCCACAGTGACCCAAGGTCACCGCTGCAGCTCCAGCCCAAACCAACACACCGCTGACCCACAGGGCTGCGATATAATGAGTGAATTTGAGCCCGAGCAAAAGGGCAGCGGCTCATTAGCTGAGACCTGAGATGTTTCAGTCTAACGTTCTAAAAATGACCAATTACACAGGCCACATTTCACCTTTGGTGATCAACAAACAATTTTAAACCAAAACACTCAGAATCACATGTTGACAATCAGAGAAATCACACACAGGGAGGTGTGCAGTGGAGTCAGACTGTGGTGGTGTCTGCCCCTCCAGGGCCGCCCATTAAAGTGTAAATACATGTTGCTGGATACACACTCCAAACATCCAGAACACTATGATCAATATGTGCATGTGTGCATTTTCAGCGTGTGTGTGTGTGTGTGTGTGTGTGTGTGTACCTTTTGTCTGGTGCTGATGTTTTTAGAACAGTCAATAACCTCAACAAAGGCTACTACGCCTGTGATGCTTGTTTACTGCTGAAAATCTGTTCCGTTGTTTATGTGTTTATGTTACAGTACCAGGACATTTTAGTATTCAGAATTAAAATGATTCTGGATTCCTATCGTCTAACTTATTGGTATAATTTACACAATAGTTGTATTGGTTGTTCTATTAGTGTTTTCTATACACTTATGTATATGTATCTATGTTTGAAATAACTTTTTGAAATGATCTCTACAACTGAAAAAGTAGTACACAATGAAAAGTACTACAGTATATATATATGCATATACTTGTGTGTATGTGTGTTACTGCCTGCCGCTTTCTGTGCTACTAACTCAACTGAGTGTAATGTGGTCTCTGGTGGACCTTGTGTCAGTGGAGAGCTGTTGTACATCTGCAGACACTGATGAGTGATGACGTGGCCAGTTGTGGCTCCTCAGGGCTTTGAGGTTTAATGGGTTCTCTGGTGTAGGCCAGCGAAGAGCTGTGGTACAGCTAAACAGATGAATCACTGATTGCTGGCTGCTTTTTAATTAAAGATCAGTATTAACTGTCACTGAGGTGATTACTGTGGAGACTCCGGGCCAGATCTTCACCGACAAACAAAGACACGGATGGGTTTAATTGGGATGGGCATGATTAGACCAATATTCAGTGATTATGTAGATTGATTATGACATGATTACAAAAGGAAGAGCTGATGTTCTATTGTTTCCATGTGATACATAATTAGGTTTTTTTCAGTGTATATCAAATTTGCAAAATTTCCTGAAGATGAAATACACTGCTGGATGTGTAGTTTGTAAAGCATGAAATCTAAGGTAAAATACTCTAACAAAACCATTGATGACAGAACTCACAGAGCAGCATCTCAAACCACTGAAGACACATCCATGATAAACAGACAATAAACCGACCATCAGAAGGAAACACAGTGGTCTGAGTATTTACAAAGAGTGCTGATCTATAAATCATAGTTCTATAGATGTCCACCGAGATCTCGTTTCATACAATAATACAAACCAGGATTGCCTGAATCCAGTTGGCCTGTTATTATTATGTCATTTCCGGTATTGACCAGACTTAATTATTTCTATTCTAAGAAATCAACACTATTTAATGTGTACACAGACTAAACATGAGTCCATCTTGTTAAGATCCGTGTCCATACCTCTCTGACTACAGGGCCATCTCCTGAGAGAAGTGTGTGTCCATGTCCTGAGAGTAATGTCTTAGATTTCTGAGAAATGTTTGCAACGTCAGCTGAAGATCAGCACAAGAGTCACGTGAATATTTTCCTTTTCACCATTTATTAATTCACCAAATACAGTGAAAATGGCATCAATAAATATACAATGACTCATTCTTAGAATGTCATGACATTTTTATCGCATTTTTTGCTTCATAAAACAATGTTCCATAATTGAAAATATTGACGGTTTCATGCACAACAAACCATATCCAGTTTCTTTAAAGTAATGGTACAAAATAAACAAAATGAACATTTAAAAAAAAAAAGAAGAAACAACAAAAAAATCTCAGAAATATCTGCCAAGTAACAACGTGTCATTGGAGGATATTTGTAAACAGTGCAATATATGTATGTATATAAATATATACATACATATATGTAAATATATATATGTATACATACATATATACATATATATGTTACGATTTCTAACAAATTCATCAACAAAGCTCAAGTCACAGTATACGATTTCTTAATAATAGTTCAACATTAATGTGTGCAAAACCCCAGACACATTCAATTAGTCTTTAAAAAAATTCACTGACCTCCGATATAGAATAAGACCAGTCCTTTAAAATGTCAGCTCTAGTCTCATTGTGTGTAAGCTCTCTCTCTCTTTCTCTCTCTCTGGCGTAGAAATATTTCTGTTGATGAATTGTAAGACCATAGACTAGCATATCATTTAAATAACAAATATTTAGATATAAAAATACAAATATGACTTTTGTTAAAAAGAAGCGTGCCAGGGTTGAGAGTGGTGGCACCTGCGTTGGCACCAGCGTGTTCATGCAAATAGATGGAGGAACAATTTTTTTTTTTATAGATGAC